CAGTGAAGCAATGTCCTCCACAACTAGACTGAAGAACAAAAGGACAGCAACTTGTCTGTTCCCCTTCCCTGATTCCCCAACGCTGTTCCCTCCCCCAACTCCCCAATTAAAAAAAAAAAAAGCTTGATCAAGATAAACAGTGTAACAGTTAATTAAATAAATGTACTGAACTCCATAGGAAATAAACATACTTTTAGAGATGGATAACTTGTGAGCCAAAGCCTAAAGGATGAGTTACAGACTTCAGGGCTAAAATCTTCACATATCTTTTCCAACATGGGCATCCAGGAGACGGCAAGGTGACAGTTCTGTAGGCAAACCCAAGTTCCTTCTTCTATTGCTGCTTTAATCATTTTTGTTGCAATTGGTCCTTGTCCCTGTCCCAGTGAAATAGCTTGAAATTTATTTCCAGACATCGCTTTATCATTTGCAAATTTCAGTAGGCCTAAGAGGGCACAAAAAAAATGGTTTCACTGCTTACTCTAAAATTATAAACTATGTCTTATGTTTCAGTGATAGGTATTTAATGTGGAAAATACTAGTTACCTTTCCTTATAAATATGAGATTCACTATCTAATTTACAATCATATAAGAAATGGACATTAAGTATGATGATTTATTTGTAATTTCTTTGAAGTTTACAGTATATAGATATACTTACTGGCCATGGGATCTGCTCCTGGTGACAGCACAAAAATTAAGGGAATGGTGCAATTTGAATCCAAGTAACTCTTTGTCAAATCAAATGGCGGAGGCTCTACAAACTTTTTCCCTAGTTTGTCAGTTACATAATTTGTTATAGCTGGAGTTATCTGTTAAAGAGAGAAAAGATATGATCTTTAGAGTAGTTTTTATTTTACATAACAACTTAGACTATTACTGAAAACCAATAAAGAGTAAAATATGAGTCTAATGGCCAAGAAAAGCATGTAGCGTATTATAGACAAAGTGCTAATTTCCCTAATACACAAAAAGTGACTATAAATTGATGGGAGAAGACTAACAATCAAAAGGAAAATAGGCAAAGAAGATGAACAGTTTATAGAAAATGAAATAGAAATATATCTCAAACATATGAAGAGATGTTCAATCTCATTTCAGTATAGCAAAGACTGCAAACTGTCCCTCTTCTTTGTCTCCTTTTGGTAATAGAACCCCAAGTTTTCCCAACCTTTTTTAAAAAAAATTATTGGGGAACAGTGTGTTTTTCCAGGACCCATCAGCTCCAAGTCCAGTAGTTGTCTCAGTCTAGTTGTGGAGGGCCCAACTCAGTGGCCCAGGTGGGGAGATGAACTGGCAACCCTGGTGTTGCGAGCACTGTGTTCTAACCAACTGAGCCAACTGGCCCCCCTTTTCCAACCTTCCGGCAGTTAGACGTGCTCATGGGACTAAGTTTTGGCCAGAGGGATACAAGTAAAAATTATATATGGAGCTTCCAGATCATACTTTAATAAGGAAGCCATTTGCCTTCAACACTGTCTTTTCTTCTTCAAGAAATGTGGTGTTCATGAGCCAGCTTCAGTCTTGCTGATGAGGACCATACTCAAAGAGATTCTCTGGCATGAGAAAAGGAACTCGAATTTCTGAATGATCTCAAGAACAGTGCTGGCCTTGCAGCCCTCAAGCATTTGCTCAGGGATGTTAGGAGAGAGAGAATTTAATTTCTATTTTATTTGAGCTACTGTATTTTAGGTCTCTGTTATGGCAGCTTACTCTATAGCCAAATCACAATAAAATACAAATTATAACTATGCTTAGATACCATTTTTACCTATCAGATTGATATATAAATGCGACAAAGATAACCTCTGCCTGTTTGCTCCAAGGTTGTTTATTTCTTCATAGCAGGCTGAAATCCACTCAAAAGCCCACTGGTACCAAACTCAAATGTTTACATATTCAGTTGTTTTAAACATAGCCCGATTAAATTATACCCAACATCTGCTGCTTGTCGATAAGATAAGCCCCAGGACATGAAGGCCCCAAGATTCTGCTGCCCTTTAGAACTCTGATCCAGAGACCAGACATCACCTAGACACCACATCTGCCCTGCTCTCCCTCGGAAGTTCCCTTACCCTCCTCCCCCCACCAACCCCAACCTGTTGACAAACTCCTGCTAAGTGACTTCTCCATCCCCAACATGCAAACCTGTCATCATTCAATGAAGGTCATGTTTGTTACTGTCCCTCATGGTCATATCTTTTTCCTTGATCAGCCCCCAAATTCCTCAAACCCTCTGCATAGATTGTTAAAAGATCCAAAAGTTTGGCAACATACTGTGAGGGCAAAAGTACGGGTACACAGACATTTTCATCCACTGCTGTGGCAGAGTAATCTGGTATAACATTCATGGAGGGCAATTTGGCAACAACTATAAAACTACAAATGGGCAAATCCACTGACCCAGAAATTTCATTACCAGAACTTTATTCTGAGAGGGAGTTGCACATGTGAGAAGTGACTTTTGAATAAGGTTACTCATTGCAACACTTTTATAATGGGTAACATATAAATATACAAATAAACAACATACAAATATTGTAAAGATCCATCAGTAGGAACTGGTTAAAAAAATTATGGTATATGAAATGATGGAATACTATGTAATTGTGAAAAAGAATGAGAAAGTTATTTATGAACTGATAGGGAAAATAAAGATATGCAAAACAGTGCATGCTATAATTTGTGTTAAAAATAAATGGAAAATTTATGTGTGCATAAAAGTATAACAAATATAACAATTGCCTGAGGGGAAGGATGTTGAATAACTCGGAGATGGAGAATGGAGGTTAATTTTTCACTGTATTCATATATTCATGTTTCAGTTTTGAATCACAAGAATATATTACTTATTAATTATATTAAAATTAATTAAAAATAAAAGAATGCTATTCATCAACATTAGCAGCAGAAAATAAGTACAAAGAGGTTTTGGATATTATCTTCTAAATGCCAAAGAACTTTCAAAAGTGAAAACTGTAGGAATTCAATGAAAAGAGAGAGATCACAGGCTTCTACAGTCCTGAAAGGTTTGTAGAATAGATGGGAAAAAAGAATGGAGTCTTATCTATGAGTAATTTTGTGTAGTTGTGAGCAATTCTGTAGTTTGAAACAGTGGAAGTTTCAAGGAGAAGATAAGAATGGAATGGCAGGAAAGAGGTCTGATTAGTCAAGGTAACAAGACAGTCAAGCTGTACTTTTGTCATTATTCTGTTGGTATTGCAAGGCCATGAAAGGTTTTTCAAAAAGGAGCTCACAACAACATAGCAGCTTTTTAGTTCTTTCTTTAACAACTTCACATGAACAATGATGAATTTTTTTTATCATTTTACCATTAACAACATGTACAGTTTTTACTAATATAGTAGATTTTCAATATACATTTTAAGGAAAGGAAGATGCTGAGGACACAGAGACCTTGCTTCCCATTCATCTACTTACTGGCCAGGGGCAATGGTCCCTGAGATAAAGTAGCTGCAATTAAGTATGATTGTTTTCTATAGAAAAAGTACCTTATTCCAGTAATTTGATAAAAGAAAAAGCAATAACACTTTTCTATAAGATTTTGATCCTTTACGTAATATACTCTAGAGAGGAAATTATGGAGACTTGAGCAGACCTGGAGATGGGATTTTATGTGTCAGTTTGGCTAGGACACAGTACCCAGATATTCTGTCAAATACTAGGCTAGATGTTGCTGTGAAGATATTTAAAAGAGAAGATGAACATGTGTATCACTAGACATTGAGATTGCCCTCCATAATGTGAGTGAGTGGGCCTTGTCCAATCAATCAGTTGAAGCCCTTAAGAGAAAAAAGACTGACTTCCACTGAGGAAGAGGGAATTCTATCAGCAGACTGCCTTTGGACTTGAGCGGCAACATCAACTTTTCTCTGGATCTTTGGCCTACAGATTTTGGATTTGCTGGCCTCCACAATCACATGAGCCAATTCCTTAAAATCTGTATTTCTCTCTCTATCTTTAGCTCATTTCTATCTCTATCTCAAGCGCTAGCTCTAGCTCTAGCTCTCTGCTCTATTGGTTTTGTTTCTCTGGAGAATCCTAATATAGGCTTTAGTTGAACTTAGTTTAATTCAGTTCAACTGAACTCAATTCACAGACATTTATTGAGTGCCTACCATTTGCCAGGCACTACTTGAAGTCCTGGAGATATATAGCAAAATAAGACATAGGTCCTGACCTCGAGAAGCTTACAGTCTAGTAGGAAACCCTAACAAATAGATGATTACTATATGTCCCAGTGTGGTAAGTGCTGTGATGTTAAAGCACAGACTCCCAAGCATGGCAGACAAATAACTCCACAAATGGTACTGAAGCAACATCTCCATTGGCCATCAGGGAGCCATTCAGTGGAGTGCAGATAGGCAGGTGTTTCCCAGATATAGATGTATACATTCCTCAGTTTGCCATGAACAAGCAAGTTTATTGATGATAAAATAATGAAAAAAGCATTGCTTTGTCCTTCAAGGGACTTACTGTATAGTGCAAGGAATATACATATATACACACCTATCAGGTAGGAAAGAATGAGTTAAGTTTTAGTCATAGACAAAGGTCTTTCAGAGTTAGAGTAAGGAGAAATACTCAAGAGTCAAGTAATTATGTAGGCCTCTGAACTTACTCAGAGACTGAATGAAGCATTAGATAATGCTTCTTATCAAATTTTACTCAAAAAGTAAAATGTAAAAGAAAGACAGAAAGACAAAGAAGGAAAGAAGGAAGGAAGGAAGGAAGGAAGGAAGGAAGGAAGGAAAGAAGGAAGGAAGGAAGGAAAGAAGGAAGGGGGAGGAGGGAAGGGAGGAAAGAAGGAAGGAGGGAAGAAAGGGATGAGGGAAAGAAGGAAAGAGGGAAGGAAGGATAGAAGGAACAAAGGAAAAGAAAGAAAAAAGAAAGGAAAAGAGAGAAAAAAGAAAGGAAAAGAAGAAAAGAGGGGACCATCACAATCATTTTCAACACCTTCATTTTATACGAGGTGTAACAGGAGCTCAAAAGGGTGAAGTGACTTACTCAAAGTTTAAACTACATGTATGAGCATAGTTTTTAGTTTTCTGTCTAAAATTTTTCCTTTTGTAACATCATAATCACCTTTCTTGGATGTGTGAAAATTGGTATCAGCCTATTTATTTTACCTATAGAAAGATTTTTTGTGCATGTTTCAACTAATAAAATTGTGGCATGTACAAGCTTTTCTACCATCTTCTGTTTCCAGGCAATGTAGAGTTAACAAGGACCAGATTTACCCTCTCATCATAAACTAACAAATGGGCAAAATGAATAAAACAATCATTTTCAGACATTGGACTATTCTGACAACAGGTGGTACAGTACTGTGATCCCTAAGAAAGAGGAAACAAACAAGATGAGACCTAATGTTCCCTTAGCTTTCTTCTAGGAGGTACATTCCAGATTGTGAAACAGGGAGATCAATTGAAAGCAGAGCAACACAGTGTTGTTGAGTTGTGAAGATAGAAATCAGAGTTCAAGAAGGCTGAAGCTGCTGGAAATCACAGAGTTCAAACTAGAAGGGGACTATCCAAAAAAGAGCTTGGAAACCTGCATAACAGAATCCTTGAGTCTTTGCAGAATACTATGGTGTGCATGCACAGGACAAGCAAAGATTGAATGGGAAGCTGTGAACTGGGGACCTGAGAAGCTACCAGAGTTCATGCAAGGCTGGGTATCACTCAAGTTCCCTATAGCCACAGTGGAGAGTCCTTGGTGATCACTTGGGGCAGTCAATAAAGGCCCCAGAAGGGCCATACGTTAGTAATGGAGCTAAACTATCCATTGA